CTCTTTCACTAGCTGAGCATTTCTGTAGATTTCTCGACATTATTTCCAGCAACGACAATTATTTGTGGAATACGACAAAATGATGTTCTCATTTTTAAAAGACAATAATATTGTGGCGTAGCATAATCTTAATAAATATTTTTTAAAAGTGAATGAGTCAGGATTTTTACTATTTATTATTGATTCATAAATTTTTAGTTAAATAATTACATTAATAAAAAGGTATTTATCAAGAATAAGGAATAAAAGTTCACTCATGCACTCATAAAGGTAAATTCAATAATTTTTTCTGTGGAATACAAACAATATAAAATTTAATTAAAGCTGTTATCTTAGATTAACAAAAAATAAAAAATGACAAAGAATACATTGTCTACTGAATTAAAAAATGATCAAGAACGCATTTTCTACTGGATCAAAGTAAGTTATTTTCTTCTCTCTTTTGTTTTTGGCTTTTGTTTTTGGTAAATGATAAATAAGAAACATATTGAAACATATTCAAATCATAATTCTTTAAATAAAAATAATTTATGTCAATAATTCTTTAAAAAAATTTAAATTTAAATTTAAATAATAATTCAAATACATTTTCCAAATGGCACTTATATATTTTCAGGCACACGAATCATGGTAATTTTTAATCCTTAGTATTTCTACTAATTTATAACATTTTTCATTTATATATAGTAAATCATTGCAATGATTATATGCTTCATTTGGAAATCAGAAGAGATGCAGGGGGTGGTGTTGATATTCGAAGTCAATCAACACAAAAAGACAAATAAATCAAACAATTTTTATTTATAAAATGCACAGTATGTTAAATTTTTACGCGTAATCTCTTTTTTCGCACAAATGATCCTAAGATCCTTGCTAGCTCATCGACCCAGCAAATATATAGTTGTATTTCCCCATTACAAAGAAAAAAAAAAAAAAAACTCACATTTCCTACGGATAAAAAAGGAAAATAAAATTAATAATAATAAACGAAAAACCAATTCCGATTACCAGACTCAAAAGTCCCAGGTACTCTCTTTCTTCTCCAACAATTATTAGGGTTTCTTGAAGCTTTTAGTTTGTCCCCAATTTGTTGTTTTTCATTTTCTGGGAAAATTCCAGGCTAGGGCTTGAGGAATAATCCATTTGATTGTATGCTGAAGGCTTGTTTGAATTGAGCTGTTATTTAAGCAATTTGTTTTTCTTGAGCTGTAATAATTGGGGTAGATTCTTCGATTTTCCTCCAATCTTATGCAAAATTTTGCATTTTGATTTCTTCCGTACATCTTTTATTCTATCGAAATGGAATTGGACTAATCCGTAATAGGTATTTCTCTCGTACGTGGGATTTGTGGGTTTCCCAGTTTATTATTCAAGTTAGTAGTTGGATTTATGATGGTTAATTGGGGAAAAAAGTTTGCAAATTGTTCAACTATGACTTGTTGTTCGTACATTAGTACCTGGGGGTTCGTCAATGGTGTTGAATTATTATTATTCTTATATTTTTATTTGAATTTGGCAGTGGGATATTTGATCAATCTCATGGGTATTTCATGGTTTTCCAGGGTTTTCTGGGCTCGGTTTGGATGTGAAATTTGTAGAATTTGTTTGGAGGAAGTTTTGATCTGGAGAAAATATTGGTGTAAATGGTAGAACTATTCACTACAAGAGTGGAATTATAGTTGAGCGTTGTGCGTTGCTAAGAATGTATAGGACTGCGGCTACAGCCGCCACCATGACCCGAGGTGGATCGCCAACCGACAATGTGGATTATGTTGTCAGCTTGGATCAAGTTCCGCGGTGGAGTGACTCGGAGTATAGATCGTCTTTGGAATTCGGGAATGAAGATCCTTCATTTTCTACTTCATACTTCCCCGATCCATTGACATCTTCATCTGGGGCAGAGAGTAGTAGCAATGACATGGTCTCAAGGTTTCCCGTTGATCATGAAATTAATTCAAAGATATATCTCTGGAGAGGGAATCCGTGGAATCTAGAAGTGGATGCTGTTGTGAATTCCACAAACGAGGTCAGCCACAGAGTTGTTATGAGAATGGTTTATGAAACAACTGGGATATTATCTATTTTAGAGGAGAACAAACTTTTAAGTTTTTATAATACCGGATTTTATGGTTTTATATGTTTATCTTTTATATATATCGGAGTCAGAATTTGGTGGAAAGTATCAAGATTTAACAGCCTTTAGAGACCTTAAAGACCCTGAATTTAACTATTTAAGAGATCAATAAAAACTATGAAAACTGTCTGGTTTTATATGAGTTAGGCTTAAGTCCTAATATGTTCATCAATTGGATGATTATCAGAGCTTGGATGAAGCCCACAGCAGCCCTGGCTTGCATGCTGCAGCTGGACCTGGTCTTGCAGAAGAATGTGCTACATTGGTATTGAACCTTCAGTTCCTTTTGTTAATATCTTTTTTTTTTTTTTTTGGTCTGTGTGTGTGCTTGAGCACTCTTGGATTAGCCTCCGTTGGACGTGGGATTTACAACAACAAGCCTTAATCCCAACTAATTGGGGTCGGCTATATGAATTTCACTTTAGATCGCTCAAAATGCCATGACACAATAAGGCTCTTATAATGAAAGTGTGGAATACTACATGTGAAACTAATATGAAATTTCAATGCTTATTGCTAACTTATGCATAGTTTGTGGTGAAATCAATTAGAATAAAGCTTTGATTTATTTGGTATGTCCTTGTTTATGCCAGGGTGGCTGTCGAACAGGGATGGCTAAAGTTACAAATGCATACGACCTTCCTGCTAGGTGGGTATCTCGATGCATTCTTGTCAATAGGATTTTAGAGTAAAAGGCCGATTTCTCTTTCCTATTGTTTCAAGGCATAATTTTGCAACCGTATATCCGTTGAGATCTTATAGCCATTTTGTTTCCCTAGTAATTATGATGGAAATATGTCAGCTTAGGTGCATGTGTACTTCTTTAGTTGGTCATCTGATTTGATTACATAGCATCTATCAAATTGTTATTTTGTGATATAAGATGCTTCTCCATTGATCATGTTAGTGATCAATCATATATCTCACTTATTATATATTAACGTCTTTCTTTATTCTTTTTCTCCCTCGTTGTTTTATATGTTGCCTTCTTGTTATTTATCTCAATTATTCCTTATGCGGTGGACATTATTGGTTATCTGAAGTGTTCCTGTATTTATATATTTATTTATTATTATTTTTTTTTAAAATATTCCAGGAGGGTTATCCATACTGTAGGTCCTAAGTATGCAGTAAAGTACCATACTGCTGCAGAAAATGCTCTGAGCCACTGCTATCGGTCTTGCCTCGAACTTCTTATTGAAAATGGATTACAAAGGTTCCTTTTCTAGCTTGTTAACTTTTTTCGCTTCTGCCTATGGTCTTGTTCAGTTTGGAGCTGATTTTGATTTGAATGTATGAATGTAGCATTGCAATGGGCTGCATATATACAGAGACTAAGAACTATCCTCGTGAACCAGCTGCCCATGTTGCTATAAGTGAGTTACTTTGCTGCTTGTTGCACTTTTTAACTTTTTTTTTTCTTGTGGTATTTTCCTGTTATCTTTGGCAGTATGAATCTCTCGTGATGATTTTGTAACGTCAGATCTTGTACATTATCTAACTAACTATTTGTACGGTGTAGGAAAAACCTACTGTAAAAGTACTAGCTCGCTCTTTTCTCATGTTATCATGCAAAAATACAAATCCACCATCAGAATGAACTTTAGTCATTTGGTTCTGATAACCGTAGAATTTATATTTGTTCTCTTTCTGACTAGTGTATTATTTTCTTCTTTTTTTCAGGGACTGTGCGGCGATTTCTTGAAAAGCAGAAAGATAAAATCAAGGCTGTTGTTTTCTGTACTACTACCTCATCTGACACTGAGATATATAAAAGGTTTTGAATTAGTTTCTTTTTCTCCTTAACTTGCAGACTGGAGTATGCAACTTATTTCAGCATATGACTGTTTCTGATAAAAGATTGAGGACTCATTGTTTTCATTATCATTGTCCTCATATAGATTGCTCCCGCTTTATTTTCCTCGAGATAAGCATGAAGAGGAGATTGCCTTTTCAAAACTACCTGCTGATGTCGGAGATGAAAATGGAGAGACAATTATTGATGAACGTAAAATTAGGATCAAGCCATTGCCCAAAAAGACTATTCCAAAGCCTACTGAGGCTCCAATAGATCTACCTGTCAGTGATGTTAGCTTGGTTCGAAGGTCAGGAGATTTCAATTTGTCTTTGATATATTATCATCTATGTTTCTGCTGCATTTTGATGATTATTGGTTAGCAATTTCATCATTAATGGGACATATTCAAATGACTCATCAATACAAAGATATGAGTGTATATACGACCAATCGCTCTTAATGCTGCAGATTCGTACATACCATTCATTTATCTATTCCTGAAAGTTGGATAAACAGTGTGAAAATGGTTACTGAAGGCAGATGCCACAGCACTTTATGCTTGTGTGATGGAATGAATAACGTAAATAACTGTTGGTAATTTGGTACTTTTGGTATAAAATTTCATAATTTTCCTCACACATATGATCTGTTTATTTTGTGGTTATCTAGCCTATTTTTTGTGTGAAAAGACACTAACTGGTGTTACTTGTGATTTTCACTCATAGAAACTCGTCATATTTGGATACCTATTTGGATCCCGCCTTCATGTCATTAATAAAAGACCCAGACCAAAGACGCAAGGAACAATGGGAAAAAACTGCTCAAGCACGAAGTGGATTCAATTGCGCTAAACTGCTTGGATTTGGTGACCTTGGTGGACCTCCATTGTCTGCTGCTGAAGAATACTCACTTCATTCGCGATATCTTGCTAAGGCAAACTCTCTTAATCTCTCTGAGATTGCAGAGATGAAAATTGTGTAAGTTATTATGTTCTTAGTGGTCTTGGGTTGATGTTAACATTGAATTGCATATAAATTTATGCTCTTTATTTCAGTTACCGCGGTGGGGTTGACAGTGAAGGTAGACCTGTAATGGTTGTCGTGGGAGCTCATTTTCTGCTGCGATGTCTTGATCTGGAGCGATTTGTGCTCTATGTGATTAAGGTAATGAAATTGCTTCTAATTCTACTATTGTCATTTTAGATATAATGTCACAGATACGTACGTACTGGTCAGATTATTTGTTTGCTCATTTGTTCTTCTTGCTTACTGAGTGCAGGAATTTGAGCCTTTGATACAGAAGCCTTATACTATTGTATACTTTCACTCGGCAGCATCTTTACAGATGTAAGCGTTATTATGCGGCTTACCATCAGAGTTGGCGTGCTATGTGTTTGTGGATGGTTTTATTTGCAAGTGAAGCTTCTTAGAAGTAATGCTGTTTTGCTAATTAGATTAATATATGCTTCTGAAACAGTCAGCCAGACCTTGGATGGATGAGAAGATTACAACAAATACTTGGACGGAAACACCAGCGTAATCTGCATGTATAGAACTTGCTAACTTTCTCTATCTCACTATACAGTATGTAGCAGTTATGCATGTGTTTGTTTCATTATAATTCTGATTTTTTTTTTCAATGGTAGGCAATTTATGTTCTCCATCCAACCTTTGGACTTAAGGCTGCTGTATTCGCATTGCAATTGTTTGTTGACAATGTGGTATGCCTATTTTTGTTTGATTGGTTTGCGTTTATAAGATTCCTCGGAAGTCTGCTGTAATTGGACGTTTCTGATATTTTCCTAGGTATGGAAGAAAGTAGTATACGTTGATCGGCTTCTTCAGCTTTTCAGATATGTTCCTCGGGAGCAGTTGACAATTCCTGACTTTGTTTTCCAGTTGAGTCGAACTCTCTTTTTTCTTGTTTCTGCATATTTATTCTCTCTTTCTCGAGTAATCTGCAGCAATAGTCTTCAATCTTTCCTTTGAAAGTGTGTCAAAAGCGTGTCATGTTTTCCCTTGCCTGCACCCGTTTGAAAAATGTTTGTCTTTCCCTTAAACCGACGTGTTGGATAATGGCCAGCTGCCTGTGATGAAAGGCTGGTCCTGCAGACCTTCATAGTGTTTTTGATTCCCCCTATTGCACGTCGTTGCTACTATGTGACTAGAATTCAGATGTTTGATTCTAATGTTTCGATGGGCATTATTACGCAGGCATGATTTAGAGGTGAACGGAGGTAAGGGTCTAATTGTGGATCCTAGGACAAAATATGTATACCATCGTCCATAACGGCACTGATATGACACGATGCTGTGCGATAAGGCAGATCCTTCAATTGCGATTGCTTCATTGTTTTTTTCTTTGTGATTATTATATCTTGTAGATGGATTGGGGTTGAATCGGTTTGTCAGTGTTGTAGAATAATGTTCTTTGTTCTTGATGGTGTTTCTCTACCAGTCTCTGTCTAAAAATCAAAGCGATATTCTTTCTACTTGTATAATCTTGGATAATAATAATAATAAATATGCAAGGTTAAGTCTCTGTGAAAGCTTTCACTAGCAAATTAATATGGCATTAGTCTTTGTTATTAGTCTAAGGAAATTTTCACTTGCTTTCTCTGTTATTATATGAAGACTAAACTTTTTTTTAGTGTATTAGTTTGTAATTAAAATTTTGAGCAGTTTTGATTCTGACTACTAAAATTAACATAAAATCTTGAATTTCAACAGAGGTAATCGTATGTTCTCGTACTCCTTGCATAAACCTTGAAAATTTTAAGGCCGTGTTTAGAATTGATTTCGTTTTTGTTTTTTACGTTTTTTGAAAAAGAAAAAATGAAAACGTTTTTAAAACGGTGTTTGGCGTAATAAAGACAAAAAATGAAAATGAAAATGATTTTTTAATTTATTGTAAAATAAGAGAGAAATGAAAAACGATTTTTAGTCGTTTTTCATTTTTTGTTTTCGTTTTTACCTCTCTTGAGCAGAGAGAAAGAGAGAGAAACATTAATGAGTTTTTTTATATTGAAAATAATCTCTTGATAAAACTAACAAACACATTTTCAAAAATGATTTCTGTCTGAAATTGAAAATGTTTTCATTTTCATTTTCATATAAAAAATAAAATCATTTTGAAATGAGTTTCAAACGCACCCTAAATATTCTAGTTTTTAAGGATTTTCAGCAACATTAAAGACAATGTTTTACATCTTCTATAACTGTTTTTCTAAAAGGTTGGAGTTTCTCTAGTAGTAGTTATTTATTTTCAGCCGTCAATTTGTATTAAAAATTGTTTTTTTCTATATTTTTTAATCTAATGTGATTTTAATTGAATTTAATAGTTAAAAAATAAAAATTGACATTTATAATAAGGAGGTCTTACCCTGAAAAAGTCTCTAAAGTTTTAGATCTCGTTTATTTTACTGATTTGAGTTTTTAATTCTAATTTTGTTACAGTTAAAAGTTTTTGAAAACAGTCACATTTAATTTTTTTGCTACAGTTAAAAGCCCTCATATAAACTCACATCTTAACTTAAATTAAAAATTTAAATAGGTCTCGTTTATTTCACCGATTCAAATAATCAATTTCAATTTTATTATAATTAAAAATTTTTATAAAAAATCACATTTAATTTTTTTATTACAATTAAAATTTATTACATAAAATTATATTTTAATTTAAATTAATAAATTAAATTATAAATTCAAATCCGCAAACTGAATTCAAAACTAACGAGGCCTTATTATGTTGTGAATTGGGCCCATTTAGTTCGCTGATTCGAGTTTTTAATTCGAGTTGAGATGTGATTTTATGTGAGGATTTTTTATTGTAATAAAAAGTTAAATGTGATTGTTTGTGAGAATTTTTTATTATAACAAAATTTAAATTCTAAACTCAAATTAATAAAATGAACAGACTAGACGTGAAGAGGTGAAGAATATAGTGTCACTCTTTATGGACACGTGATTCTTTTGCACACTGGAGAGTACGGGAAGAAAACCTCAAGCCCACGGCCAACGTAACTTGGTCGCCATGTGCCCACGTGGAAAAGGCGATCAGCCATCCCTTGTTGTTTTTCTGTTAAAAGGCAAAAAAGAAAAAAAAAAAAAAAAGGGTAACAGCCAACAAGAGAAAAAAAGAGAATCTCGGTAAGCTCTCTAGAATCATCATCATAGATTTTTCTTTTTTGCTGAATTTTCTTTCAAGAAATTTTGCGTAGAAACTATTGTTTTATTTATTTATCTTTTGTCATCGTTAGAAAATGTTGTCTTAATTATTTAATTTTTCAACTGATATAGAATAATTTCAAGGGTAAGTTGCAAATTTTTAATTGGACAATTACGGATTACAAGTTCCTGCAGTAAAAATTTTTTTTTTTTTAACACGTTGCACTTTCCTATGTTACATCCTTTTTGCACTTAAATTTAAAAAAAAAAGGACTAAATTATAATTATATTTAAGTTCATGTTCTTTTATAAAATTTGAGTTTTAATTTAAATTTTAATTCAAGTTCGAAACTTTCAACTGAAATTTTTAAACTCAAACTCAAGTTAATAAATAATATTTTTTTATTTTTAAAAATATCATAATTTTTTTCGTTTTAATTTCGATTAAGATGATTCTTTTTTCTATGTGCACAATAAAAAGACGAACAAAACTTACCTATATACCCTATTAAAAATTTTTAATCACGTTTGGTTTATGAATTATAATTATTTTTGATTTACGTGTATTTTTTATGAGAGAAAATATTGTAGCGAATCACGAACCATGATTCGAATCAGAGAACGAATCTAGGTACTAAACATAATACAAATTTAAATTTTGACTCACCTAAACACAAACATAAATAATTTCTCAATTCAAATCATAACTCAAATGTAAACATCTAAACACAAATTCAAATTAGATTTTAAACTCAAATCATATTAAAATACTCCTTAAATTAAGATCTAAACTCAAAAAATTTAAAAAATGCATAAGAACAAGCCCGAATAAATTCAAATAGCAAAATACAAGAAAACACATTCATTGTCTTCTAAAAAAAAAAAAAAAAAAAAAAAACAATACACGTTATCGTGGCTCGTTTTTAGACGCAAAAAAATATAAACAATAAATTGTTAACATAATTAACGAAACTCTAATTATTTAAAAAAATTGTTACAAAAATCTCCTCCTCGATTGAAGGAGCGACACGCTAAAAGGAGAAAAAAAAAAGCTTGATCAAATTAAACTCAGACTCCAATGGCGGCGTTGAGGGTTAGCTTCCGCGCTTTGCGACCTTCTTCTTCTTCTTCTTCTTCCTCAAATTCCCTGGTATTTTCTCTTGTTCGGTACCTCAGTTCTTCTTCTTCTTCTTCTTCTTCTTCTTCTTTCGTTGACTCTGGAGTTAACCTGCAAAAACCGGCGAACGGCGTTCCTCTCCGGCGAAAGCCCAACGGGAGAAACGACGTCCATTGGGTGTTCCTCGGCTGCCCGGGCGTCGGCAAGGGAACCTACGCCTCCCGCCTCTCCAATCTCCTAGGCGTCCTCCACATCGCCACCGGTGATCTCATTCGCGAGGAGCTCGCCTCTTCTGGTCCTCTCGCTCCCAAGGTCCGTAATTAGGGTTTCCTCTTTATTGCTTAATTTCTTTAATTTATCTTTGAATTTGATCCTTTTCTGGCTCGATTTTGCTTTCTTCTGATCGCTCCTAAAACTTTCTTCAATTTAATTTCTTCGTTTTGGTGATATCTAGCTTGTAAGGACTAAAGAAACTTTTCTTGACTTTAATTATTAGTTTTTAACTCGATTTCTTCCTTTTCTTCGATCTTCAGATTCTTTCAATTTCTCACTTTCAACTGAATTTGTCATTTTTGGCGTTTTTGTTCTTGTTTTTTTTTTTTTTTTTTTTTTTGGGTTTTTTTTTTTTTTTTTTTTTTTTTTTTTTTTTGGAGCTTTTTTCTTTCTTCACGGACAAGAAAGCAAAAGTAAACGACGGAATGTATCTTCTTTTACATTGGCCCCTGCTTATTGCTTAGAGAGAGAAAATGAAGTACTTCATTGGCTTCAGTTCGTTAAAAATTGTATATACATAGTTACATTTGTTAAAAATTGTATATACATAGTTAGATACATTATATTATAGGCAAAGGCTTAAGTACTTCATAAAGTCTGGTCCTACATGTAAGGAGGATGACAGTGGCAGAGCCAGGAAATTGTTTCGGATGGCGTGGTGGAGCCAAAATTTTGTGTTAAAATTACAACGTAACTATATTTTCTTAACTTTTGTCTCTCTTTTTTGTCTTCATTTTATTATTATTATTATTATGTGTTTTGTTCTTCTTATGAATGAACTAAGCGTGTAATTTTTAAATTTTAAAGTCCCAAAAATATAAGTTTACATAGTACTACTATAATTGGTTTTTGGTTTATTTGGAGTTTAAGTTTGAGATATGACTATATTTAAAAATAAGGATAAATTCATGAGAGGTCCCAGAGGTCCCTGAATTTTTGTCTCTCTCTAGAATTAGTCCTTGTAGTTGAATTTGTCTCATAAAAAATTCCTGAACTAAAAAAGTCTCATAAATAGTCCCTTAAATTTTTGGATGGTAGTTATGCTTTTTGGGTTATTTCTTTTCTTTTTTGCTTTTAGTTATTTATTTTTTTATGTTATGAAATAGCTAAACTATTTTTCATGAAGTAGATAGAATTTAAACTCTTCCTTCTTAACGTTGGAATATTGTGAGGGACTATTATCATTGAATTTTTTTTTTTCTAGTTTTATGGATATTTCCACCTTCACTTTATTCTTATCAATTGAAAAAAAAAGGCACTACAAAAGAATGCCTCCCTCTTTGTCAGTAAATTCTTCTATGTTAATACTTGATATAATTAATAAGCGGCCATACCTTAATTTGACCATAATGCATTTACCAAAAAAAAAAAAAAAAAGAAGAAGAAGAAGACCACCATAATGCACAATACATGGAGCAACAGAAGTTTCGAAACAAAAGGAAAACCTAATTACGTACACTGATATAAGTTCATGAGAAAAGAGGTAAGTGTGTGTGTGTGTGTATATATATATATATATACACACACACCCACACACACACTATATAATGCTTGTACAATTGAAACAATAATAATAATTTTCAGAATAATTATCTTAATTGTGTAAGAGTTGTTGCATCCTTTTAAAAACGTAACTTTACTTGGATAAAATTTGATTCAAACAACAAAAATAACAATTTAGAGATTAATTGTAGAGAAAAATATTAATAGCCAATTTTGGAGAAGTAAAAAATATTTAGGTTGCGTGGTATGAGGGTTCTAGAACCGGAATCATGATTCTGGTTCAAACCTTTGTTTGTTTGTAAAAAGTAAAAAATGGTTCTTGAAAATCAGTGTTTAGTTTGGATGGTTCTGGTTCAAGGTTTGAATCACGATGTGATGTTTTAAACTAAAACCACCCTAAATAATAAAACCACCACCTCCCCCCTTGATTTTGGATGGTTCAAATCTCTGGTTCTAATTCCGGTTTTAGAACTATGGTTTGGACGTTCAAACCATAAATCATGGTTTTAGTTCTAAAACTAAAACCACCCTAATTTGAACCCTCATACCTAACGCAAACTTAGAGATCTCAAATAAGACAAAAGTGTAAAATAAAATAACCTAAAAATCATAACCACCATCCAATTTAACAGATTCCATCTAAAATTTTAACAGAGGGACTATTTATAAGACACTTTTTCAATTGAGGGACTATTTATGAGACAAATTTGACTACATGGACTAATTTTAGAGAGAGAAAAAAATTGAGGGACCTTAGATAAATTTACTCCAAAAATTAAAAGTCAAACTTGAAGTGAAATGTTTTGTATAATTCCACCTCAATATTACAATTTGTAAAATTTTAGGAGGGCAAATAGTAAGAAAAATAGTTAAAAAAGTTTTGGAGGGGCAAAATTAGAACAATGTAGCTCTGCCTCTGGTGGAGGAATAAAGGGTGTAACATTATTTTATTTTGTAAAGAAATTATAATTACAGGATAATAAATAACATGTTACACGTCCTAGTTTTATATGTTACAGTATAGGATGGTCTGAAGACAAGCCTGTCAAACCATAAATGTATAATATGCTTGATTTTCTTGTGTTTGGATGGTTATTACCTTTCTTTTTTATTTTTTCAACTATAAATTTTTGCAGCTCGCAGAGGTTGTTAACCGAGGCAAATTGGTTTCAGATGAAATTGTGATAGATTTATTGTCCAACCGTCTTCAAGCTGGTGAGGCAAAGGGTGAATCTGGATTCATACTTGATGGTTTCCCTCGAACTATAAGACAGGCAGTAAGTATGTACTTCTTTTGGGTTGGGAAAAACAATGGAAAAGCTATGTATATTTGATACTACGTCTGATAAAATGTTAAGTGTTTGTTACTTAAAACATTGATGGCTGCAGGATTAGAGTTTTGTTTTTGCCTTTTGTTTTGTTTTTTTGTTCTTTTTTGTTTTTGTTTTGTTTTTTTTTTGTTTTTATATTAAATGTATGAGTAAGCGAGACAGGTGTACTTGTTTGTTTTCTCTCGATTTGTGTATGCTAGCTGATTTGATGTGGGGACCTGAGTTTGTTAAGGAAAAGGCAGATCGAAAGATTGAAGTGCGTTAGGTACTAGCTTCTATTGGCATGGTTAAACTGATTGTAGCAGTTAATCATAAGTAGCTTGGTTTCCCATCAACATCCCTTTCAGTTAGGATAGGGACTAATGAGATGTTAGTTAACTAGTTTGTAGAGTTATCACCTAATCTAAAAGTTTTGGAACATAATTAGATATGTGTTCACAGGCAATTATGAAACACACGTTACGTTTGTTTCCCTGCATATGTGACTTGCAGAAACTTGAATGAACCAGATTGGGAGTTTCTCCTAGAATAGCTCCAGTAGGCATTTGTTGGGTTGGCTTGGCTTTGTCAGCTTGTTGGGCCTTTGATTATGTTGCCAAAAGATGGTCGTGATACTTTAGCATTACTTTGATGATAGCTACGAGTAGAGTATTAATTTTTAGACAACCGCTTTAATGGTAGTAAGTTTATTATTATTGTTGTTATTTTTTGCAGGAAATTTTAGAGGGAGTGATAGATATAGACTTGGTGATTAATCTAAAACTTCGAGAAGATGCTTTGCTTGCAAAGTGCCTGGGACGACGGATTTGTAGTGAATGTGGTGGAAACTTTAACATTGCTTGCATTGATATTAAAGGGGAGGATGGGAAGCCTGGCATATACATGCCTCCACTAGATCCGCCTCCTCATTGTGCATCGAAGCTTATCACACGTTCTGACGACACAGAAGAAGTTGTTAAGGAACGACTCCGTGTATATAATGAGATGGTATTCCTCCGTTATCTATGAGATTTTATTCACATTTCAGCGAAAAAAATATCCACTTTCTAGATGAAATTTAGGAAGTTATATATTGTCGGAATGAGAAACCTATTGTACATGGCGAAATTAGAATACTCCTCATGAGGGAGAGCACATTTTTGGTACCATGCTGCATTCTGTCTAGTTTGACTCTGAAGTTAAGTCCACCTAAAGTGCATGAAAAGGCTATCATACTGTTACTGGGCCAGTTAATTGAGTTGTTTGTGATACTTTTATGGAGATATTTTACCGTGAAAGCAACAAGTTTGACTTCTAAATTGACTTGTTTTGACAGAGTCAACCGTTGGAGGAGTTCTACCGTAGTCGCGGGAAATTGTTGGAATTTGATCTTCCCGGAGGAATCCCAGAATCGTGGCCAAAGCTTCTTCAAGCTCTGAATCTGGAAGACCATGATCAACGGTCTGCAGCAGCATGAACTTCTAATGCTCTGTTCTATATGTAGTAGGTAAGAGTTAGATCATTCTTTGCGTTGTGAGCTTGTGAGCATGCACACGCATTTATTTAATTGAAGTAAAGCGGAGACAAGTTTTTATTTGCAAATAAAAATAAGAAACCTTCAATTTTATGCAAGGTAGCTTCCAATTGTGATTTAAGAGACGTGTAAATATTAAAGGGTAAGATTGTTCGGAGAGAAAAGGAGATGTGAAAGTATTGTTTATGTTAATTGGTGGACTGATGTTCAGCTAATAAGTGATTATTTTGTGAACGTCTAAGTTTTATTTTCCTTCTCATTCTGCTCTATGTTTATGAAAGAAGCCTGGAGGTGAGTGTATGCTCTGTCCAAAAGAGAAGTTTCTCTTATTGATCCTTTATGGGGCACCCTGTATTTCCAGAAAAGAAAAGAAAAAAAAAATCCCTTTTATAATAAGGGAGCTGCTCCCGTGCGCCAATATATTGGCAGGTTAAATTTTATGTATGTAGGATTTGTATAAAATTACGTAAAAGTTAAAAAGTATGTATATCTAACGATTAAAAAAAAAAACTTGACTTACTGGTATGTCGGGCGTACTAGAGAATCTCTCTTATAATAAATATAAAAAAGCGTCCATAGGCATGTGAATAGACAAAAGTATTCCGGTTGGTAAGTACAAATATTTTTTATTTTTTTATTTTTTTAGAAATTGAATACCAGGAAAAAAAAAAAAACATGTAAGACGGGCTGCTTGGCACCTTGGTCGCAAACACATGCCTGAGAGTGCCTGCCTAGGTTGCAAACCATGGCTACGAGAAGACTAGAATATTGTTGGTCATTGATTGCTATTGTAGGTATCAAGGTATGATGCTGCTATCAAGGTTATCTTTGATATTTTCAAAGGTTTTTAAGATGTGCATCTTTTTATGATTGTACTTAGATCTCAGTTCTCCATTGTTGAATGTGTGATTATTATTATTGTTTTATTTGGACTTTTGAGTTTACAATATTACTAAACTAAAATTTGAAATAGTAAAATACATATTTAATAAACAGGTAAGAAGGTTACAATGGAATCTCATCTTATTCTATTTAATTAACAAGACGAGCTCCGAGAAAAATTTCAGCTGCTACCATTGTAGCACCATGTATCGGAGCTGGAATAGTAGACCTTTCATTGAAAGATGCACAAAGTAGCAAATAAAAACTTATTTCCTCTACAAGGTAGGCTGGTAGAGAGCAGTGAAGGCTGCCCTACGCCAAACCTGTCTTATTGCCATCCCCATGTTGTGTAACAATTTGTGCGAGAGTTTTCTTTTTCAAAGTGAATATCAAACTAGAGGTTGTAGCTATGGCGTTTGTGTAAAGTTATGATGAAATAGTCTATAGAATAGAAAGCACAAAAGCTTTCACTGTTTGGGTATTTCGACCAAAACGGCAAGTGCGTTTAGAACTTTTTTTTATTGTTTTTAAAAACGTTTTCACACGTCTTATTTAGCAAATATTTTGAAAACGAAAATAAAAAACAATGGATGTATTTGAAGTTGGTTTTGTTTTTGTTTTCACGTTTTTTGAGAAAAAAATAAAAATGGGAGAGAAACATCGTTTGACACAATTAAAGATAAAAAACGAAAATAAAAATGATTTTTAGTTTAGTGTAAAATTGGAGAGAAATGATTTTCATTTTTTGTTTCCATTTTTTTCTCTCTCAAGCACATAGAGAGAGAGACATTAATGGATTTTTTATACTGAAAATAATCTTTTGATAAAACTACTAAACACATTTTCAAAACTGATTTAGGTCTGAGATTAAAAACATTTTCATTTCCATTTTCATACAAAAAATAAAATCATTTTAAAACGAGTTTCAAACGCACCAAATGTAAATAGTTTTTGTGAAGGAAGTTAGAAAGCGATTAGACGTTGTTTTCCCTTTTCCGTTTTCATTTTTTAATACATACCAATAATGTTACATTAAATTATTTAATTATTAATTACTAATTATATAATATATTAATTAATAATTAATAAATAGATATAACTATAACTAATAAATAGATATTAATTACTTATTTATTAATTAATATTAAATTATAAATTATAAATTTTATTAATAAAAATGATAAATATTAAATAGTAATTAATTATTTAGTTAAAGATTAATTGCCAAAAAGATTCTATAATATATTAATAATAGAATAATTAATAATAGGTTATTAAATAAATAACTATAATTAATATATCAATCATATATATTAATTATAATCTATTAATTAGTAAATATATGATAAATAAAAATAGTAATTACTCAATTAATAATTAATATTAAATTATATAATAAATTGTAATATACTAATCAATAGTAATTAATAATTGATAATTAACAATTCATCATTATTTAAAGAAAAATTATTAAAAATGGATCATGCAATATATCAAATAATAGATTATTAAATAAATGTTAGTAACTAATTAACTAATTATTTAATCATGTAACTAAAAGTTAATTATTTAAATAGTAAATAGAATATTAATATATTAATTAGTTTTTCTTAACATACTTATTAATTACTTATAACTAATAAATATGAGTACGTTACTAACACAGTAATTACTTATAACTGATTATTAATTACATTTTTATTATTTATCATACTAATTCATTATATATAATTTAATTACCAATGCACTCATTAATTATAATATATTCATGATTATTGTATTATTAATATATTAATTTTATTTGCTTAGTGATTATCAATTTTTGATTTCTTAATATATTAATTTAACATTATTAATTACATGTACTCGAAACAAAATTTCATAAATATAACCAAACATGATTTTACTTTTTTACTATACTCAAAATAATCTTTTAAAAGACTAACCAAACGTAATTTTAGAATCAGTCTCAGAATAATTTTTAAAACAATCTCATTTTCACTTTTGTACTGAAAATAAAATCATTATAAAAACATTACCAAACGGGCCGGGCAATTCCCCATCCATGGGGTTTTTTTTTTAGTTTTTGGTCCTCTTTTAGGTTCTCCTTTTGTCTTTTGGTCCCTCGTTCTTACCCCTCCTTTCTTCCTAAATTATTTATTTTTACTCTTTTTTTTTTTTTTTTTTACTTTTTACCCTAAAACATTTATTTTTTTTATCCTTTTTTTGCTTCTTATCCTAAAGCTTTATTTTTTTTTCATTTTTTTTCTTTTGTCTTAATACTTATTTATTCTTTCATTTTGGTCCTTTCTGACTTTTTTGTTTGCTTCTTACCCTAAACTTTATTTTTTTTTCCATTTTGGTTCCTTTTTGGGTTTCTATATTTCATATACTTTTGAATGTGTCTCATTTTTAAAATTTTATTTTGAATAATTTTTATTGTGACATGCATTTTTCTTTCTATATGCCTTATTTAAATGCAACCATTATTTTTAGTACATTTATTCTCTCTATTCTTTTATTTGAGTGATTTTAAAATGTGTTATCTCTTTTACTTTGTTTTTATTAATATAATTTCTTTCATATGTGTCCGTACTTAATTTTTTTTTATTTTCATTTTGCCAAAAGATTATATACAATGTAATACTTCTTAATGACTTCTTTTAAATGTTTTTTTTCCTGTGTGTTCTCATTAGAATATATTTTTTCAAATGTGTCCTTATTCAATTGTTTCCTGTGTAATCTTTTGTATTTTAATGATGATACTAACAAAGATATTTGTGTTAGTTGTATGTTAACGAACTAATTAACTAGATCTTTATTATCAAATATAAATTACAAAAATAATAACATGGTAATCAAAATTTAACACACAGATTACTCTCCATGTGCAAAGCACGTTGACTTCAACTAGTATAATAATATAGCGCATCATCCTTCACTCACCTGGACTCAACTATTTGAGCCTTGTGCCCATAAATAATATAATAAAAGTAAAATAGTTATTTTATAGGATTGGAATTGAAATATAACAACTTTTTTGAAATATATTAGAAACAAACAAATTATGTAGAAATTAGGGTTGTGCATGATTTGATTCAAACCGTTGGTCCACTTCCATGTTAGCACTATTAATAAACAATCCGATCCAGACTGGTCTCATCTTATAAACGGTCTGGTCCAATCTAAATTTTTAAAACTATTAATAATATTTTAATTTAGAAACCTAACAGTTTAGGACCGGATCAGATTGAAAACCCTAGTTTCACTCATTATAATGATTTTCTTGTTTGTGTTGTCGGCGTTGAAAATGGAAGAGAGAGAGAGAGAGAGAGAGAGAGAGAGAGAGTATTATGATATTTATTCAAGTTGTGGCGGTTTTGAAATATTTTTTAGCATGGCAATAATCTATATATGTTAAGGGGACGTTTGTTTCCTATATTCGTCCCTGATTCTTATTCTGAATCATGATTCATGGTTTTCTACAGTGTTTTCTCTTACAAAAAATACACGTATAATGAGAATGGTTCTGAATCATGATTATAAATACATAAACCAATCGTAAACAAAGTGTGTGGCAAGCACCTATCTTTCTCAACAACTAAATAGAAAAGCATACTCCAAAGGGCACCTTAACTTTTTCCCATGTTTTAAATAAGTATACTCGCATTTCGTAAAACATTTTAAACATTTAGATTATAATTAAAGTTTGACATTTTAGTATACTAATAGTCCAAACTTAATATCTCACTAAAGCAAAACTCTACTGCATTACTATATAGGTTCATAACTTTCAAAAAGAAAACATTATACTATAAGCTCATAGGAATTGTTTGGTAAGAAAGATGGAGAGACAGAATGATGGAGAGAGTTGGAGGGATGGAGAATGTGAAGGATGGAGAGAGTTATAATAATTATTTATGTTGTTTGATTGGAGAGAAGAAGAATTGAGAGTAGGGCTGTTCATAAACCCGAACAACCCGCAAACCCAACCCACCCCGCCCCAACCCAAGCCGAAAAAAGCAACTTGCAGCATTATTTTTAAATTTTCGGCCCATTATACCTCTAGCCCAAAGTGTTGGGGGCGGATTGCGGGTTGGGCCCATAACAACCCGCAATCCCCAACCCAACCCGCACAACATACCCCCAAGCTTTCGACCTAAGCCGAACTGGCCAAGTTCTACCTTAGGCTCGCTAACATTAGGGTTCACAATCTCATTCTCGGTCTCCCCTCCCGTGAACCCCCTCTTCAGTTTTCCCTCTTCTTCCTCTCCCGTTAACCCCCTCATAACTCTCTCCTCATTGCTCAGTCCTCTCGGCCACCGTCTTGCCCACTTTCTCCGGTGCTCTCT